ATATATAATTCAGCTTCTGTTGACTTCATAAAGGGTTGTAGTGACAACAGAGTCTGATGCTGCCCTCTAGTGGAGAGAAGAGGAACCGCAGCTCAAGTTAAACTTTTTTTCCCCCCAACTTTATTGAAACATGGAGTCAGAACATGAATAAATAAACAAGTAACACAATCAGGGCAGTGTTGGGCAGCACTAATCTAAATATTAGTTGCATTAACCCTAAAGCACTAACTCAAATATTTAGGTCCTCTAATTCTAAAGCACTAACACACTGGAAAATTTTAGCAAAACCTAATTCTAAAGCACTAAAATAATCCAGTTGACACATGAAACATTCTTCTGAGTCACCATGAGACAATATTTACTGTGTGCAGAATGGTGTCACTTACTGCCCTTGRTGGGCCAAACGGGAGGCCACATTTGGTCCGCAGGCCTTCAGTTTCACACGTGAACTTGTAGACAGCTTTCACCCTCAGCTGTGGAAAATAACGTTGATCAACAACATTCAAAGACCTCAGTTAGTGCTTCTAAATTTAACCCATGAATTTAGCAAATACTAATCCACTAATGTTTTCAAAAAATAGCAAAAGCCCTAAAACACTAATCAGGAAATTAGTTCCCCTATTAGTGCTTTAGGGGAACTGTGCCCACCACTATCAGGGATATAAAAGCAATATAATTACATAACAACCATATAATACATCTCAATGTAATCATATAGAAAAAATAAGGAAATAGAAGGAAAAACTAAAACTAAAAAAAAGTCAATTACAAATAAAATAAAAATTAAGTGACTAAGTAGCTAAAGGCGAAGTTGAGCAGAATCAGCATTAGTTAAAAATAATTTAAATGATGACTCAGTTTCCACAAATCTGTTAGAAATCAGTSAACAGCTGATCCTGGATCAGAATATTTAATAAGTGAAACTGAGAAACAGAAACGTTGATCCTGCTCAGTAACCGTTAACACGTCTGCAGCTTCATTTCTGGTTCAAACTGACACCAGAGCTCACCTTCTCAGGTAAAACTCAGAGTAGAAGTTATGGACTTGTACCACCACACTGACTCAGTTTAAMTTCAACATAACCAGTCCTGAACTCAAAGATTCATTCATGATACAGAAACTCTGAAATGTCTTCATGATGATGTTTATTTTACTGCTGCAGAGACAGAAGAACAGAAACCAAACACTGACAGAAACAAACTGAATTCTGGACGTTTATCATTAAACCAGAAACTGTGAAATGTTCACTCATTTACTCCCAACACCACCTGAACGCAGCGTCCTTCATGATTATCTGCTGAGTCATCAGTCAGCTGTGAARAAAAAACAGATCTGTTGGATTTATATTTTCTAATTTTAGAGATGTTTAAATAATTAATGTCTTTTTCACAGAGTCTGATGTTAGCGTTAGCCTCCATTAGCCTGCCGTGTCAGGCTGCAATGCATTATGGTCTATTTCCCACTAGACTCAGTTAAGGAGTKAACATTTCAAACAGTCTTGATTTATGATTTCAGATTATAATATTAATCCCACAGTTTTCTATTTTATTAAAAAATAACCTGTTGAGACATAAAATAAATATAAATAAACAGGTTCAGCTGTTTTTTTGAAGCAGATAATACAGAAATTATTTACTTTGATAAACTGACWGCAGCTTGATGAGCAGAACCTCAGGTGATCACCTGCAGCCAGGTGAGCTGAGGGGGCGTGGCCTGTCTGAGTCACAGTTTAGCTGCAGCAGTTTGACTCAGGGTCAGTTTGTTTGGTACAAACAGGAGGACGTCTGAGACGAAAACAAGCTGAGAACCTGCTCAGAGACACCAGGTCCAGGTCCWGGTYCWGGTYCTGGTTCTGGTTCTGGCTCTTCATGTGGGGGGAGGCCCGTCGTAGCGCAGCATGACGCTGAAGGATCGGGCGAAGTTGTTGGAGAGCGAGCAGCTGCTTCCTTCATCCATGAGCGGCAGCAGGAAGAGGAGGAGCAGCAGAGCGAGGAGGAGGAGCCACAGGAACAGAACCAGGCGGCAGATCCTCTGCAGCAGACCGGGTTTCTGTGGAGACACACAGAACTGAGCCGGTCCACAAACAACTGGAGACAGAACATGCTGAACGGACCAGAGAAAGGTCTGGTTAAAGGGATGAAGCTGGTTTTTCTACAGCATGTGCTGTTTTTAACATGTGTAGGAGGATGTTACCATGGTTACCTTTTCAAGTGTTGGTTTGGGGCCCGCCTCCTTCTGATTGGTCGTGATTTTATGCAGAAAAATAAAACAAACAGTTTGCTGAGTGTCAAACTCAGTTACACAAGCAGGACAAAATTCTAAACTTGGTCAAAGCAAAGGACCAATCTGTCAATATTAACTGGTTTTAAATATCATAAATATCATAAATTATTATTATTATCATCATCATCATCATCATCATTCAAATTCAAAAATACTTTATTGATCCCAGAGGGAAATTAGGTGTTGTTGTAACTCATTTAACTAAAAATGAGATCACCATCATCATC